TAGTACTACTACTAGTACTACTACTAGTACTATTACTACTAGTACTAGTACTACTACTACTACTACTACTACTACTACTACTGCTGCTACTGCTACTGCTACTGCTACTGCTACTACTACGAGTACGACTACGACTACTACTACTACTACTACTACTACTACTACTACGACTACTACTACTACGACTACTACGACTACTACTACTACTACTACTACTACTACTACTACTACTACTACTACTAAGATTACCGCTACTACTACTACTACTGCTACTACTACCACGACTACTACTACTACTACTACTACTACTTCTCCTACTACTACTACTACTACTACTACTACTACCACTACGACTGCCATTGCTTGTATTACTATTACGACAACTACTGCTACTACTACTACTACTACTACTACTACGACTACTACTACTACTACTACTACTACTACTACTACTACTACTACTACCACTAGTACTACCACTACTACTACCACCATTATCACTACGATTACTACCACTACTACTACTACTACTACTACTACTACCACTACGACTACTACTACTACTGCTGCTACTACTACTGCTGCTACTACTTTTTCGACTGCGCCGACTACTACTACTACTACTACTACTACTACTACTACTACTACTACTACTACTACTCCTACTACTCCTACTACGACTACTACGACTACTACTACTACTACTACTACTACTACTACTACTACTACTACTACGACTACTACTACTACGACTACTACTACTACTACGACTACTATTACTACTACCACTACTATTACTACTACCACCACCACCACTACCACTCATCATATTAACAATATAAGTACGTAGCCATTTTGGCTCTACCCTGGCGCGCGCTGGTTCGAGGGGTCAGCCAGCGTCCATTTCGCATGGCGACGGGGGGCGGCCCGCCGTGGCGGCCCACATCGCTTCGGCAGCTCGAGATCATCCAGCTCGGGGCCACTCCTGCTCGCCGCGCGGCACGGGCTCGCGCTCGCGCCGCCTTCGAGGCCGCAATCGGGTTCCTGGTATCTGTTCGTGCCCTTCCAGGCTCGTGGGCTGATCGCGAGCTTGCGTCGCGGTCCGCCTGGCAGCTGGTCGCGGGCGGCGAGAGGGTCCCAGGGTCCAAGCGGCGCAGGCGCAACGCCGCGTGGCACTCCCAGAGGGTACCGCCTGGCGGCTTCACGCGCGCCTCCTCCGAGGGCATCGCGTGGGCGGCTGCTGGCCCCCGTCTGGGGGAGGGAGGAGGAAGCTTCCGCGCAGAGGCCCCGCTGTTCCATCCTCAGTCGGACGTGGACTCGCCCTTCACCGAGATGCCAGCGCACGAGCCATCGGTGCAGGAGGTGGCGCAGATGGTCTCCGACCCCCGCCCGATCCTGGAAAGGGACACCTCCGGAGCTGCCTCATTGTCGGCGTCGGCTGGTGTGGATTGGCTTTCTCAGTCGCAGTTGTTCTTCGGTCCGGACGGCGACGACGATCCGCTCAGTGATTTCGAGTTCTGAGGGTCTTTCACTTTTGTGAATGCTGGCGGTGGCATCTATTATTCGGTATTCCGCTTCTGGCTTGGTTGAAGCTCGTCTTCCTTGGCATATTTCTTTTCGTGGGCATGGGACGAAGCCGTTGCGGGGGCAGCCCGCCGTACGGACCCGTCAAGGGCGAAGCTGTCTTCCACGATCACGCAGTCGTGCTTCCTCGTGGCTGTTGGCGGCAATTCGCGTTGAATGGCATTGTGGCTTGTGTTTCAGTATTCGGTGGAGGTTTTCCTCGTGAAAGTGATGTTCACGCGCGGGTGCTTCTACGCGTTGTACATTGTCCTGAACTTGTTCATCACGTAGCTCGCCCTTGGAGAGGGCTCCTTGATCGCTCAATGTCAAAAGTACGAACAATAATAGTTGCTACTGGATCATAGTAATCATCACACGAATAAGAAAACGAATACGAATGCAAAGGCGAACGATGATAATAATAGTTGTAGTATAATAGTAGTAATAGTAATCATACTTCTACGACGACGAATCAGAAACATACGAATGCGAATATGAAAGAAAAACAGGAAGATGAGGAGGAGGAGGTAGACGTGCGCAAAGAGGAGGAGGGGAAGAGGAGGGGGGAGAGAGCGAAGAGAAAGAGAGGGGAGAGGAGAGAGGACACAGGTGAGATGAGAGGGGAGACGGCAGAGAGAGGAGAGAAGAGCGCGGAGAGAGGAGAGAGAAGGGAGGAGCGAGGAGAAAGGAGAGAGGAACGAGTAGAGCGGAGCGAGGAGAGAGGAGAGAGGAGAGAGGAGAGAGGAGAGAGAAAGGAGCAGAGAGAAGAGAGGAGCGAGGAGAGAGGAGAGAGGAGAGGGGAGAGGGGAGAGAGGAGACACGCGAGAAGAAAAAGGAGAGAGGAGAGAGGAAAGAGGAGCGAGGAGACAGGATCAGGGAGAGAGGAGCGGGGAGAGAGGAGAGGGAGAGAGGCGAGAGAAGAGAGGAGAGATGAGAGAGGAGAGAGGAAAGAGGGGTGGGGAGAGAGGCGAGAGGAGAGAGGAGAGAGGAGAGAGGAGGGGGAGAGAGGAGAGAGGAGACAAGAGAGAGGAGGAGAGAGGAGAGAGGAGAGAGAAGGGAGGAGAGAGAGGAGAGCCGGGAGAGGAGATAGGAGGAGGAGGAGGAGGAGGAGGAAGATGACGAAGAAGAAGAGAACAACTATTAGCATTATGAACAAGAGAAGATGGAGGAGGAAGAGGAGGAGGAGAGAAAGGAGGAGGACGTGCAGGCGGAGGAGGAGGTGGAGGAGGAAGAGGTGAGGGTAAATATAGAAGAGACAAGAGATGAGAGAGGAGAGAGGAGAGAGGAGAGGGGAGAGAGAGGAGAGAGGAGAGAGGAGCGGGGAGAGAGGAGAGAGGAGAGAGAAGGGAGGAGGTAGGAGGGAGGAGAGAGGAGAGAGGAGAGAAGAGCGAGGAGCGGGGAGAGAGGAGAGAGGAGAGAGGCGCGAGGAGAGAGCAGAGAGGACAGAGGAGGGAGGAGAGAGGAGGGGGAGAGGGGAGAGGAGAGAGGAGAGAAGAGAGAGGAGGACGGGGGCCAGAGTAAGCCCAAGGCTCAGCAACGAAATGAGAATCGACCCTCCTCCCAAGCTCCCGGCTCATAGGCCCCATACAGGGCTCATTCCCATTGAGGGGATTGCCTCGTTAGGAGAACCGTGTGAAGACCCTGAAGCGTGGCAACAGACAAGCCTTCTCGGGACAACGCCACGAATCAACTGGACTGTTGCGTCCTGACGATCCAGAATCGCGCCAGAACGCCGTTCTTGGGATCTCAACACCGCGAATCAGCGTAACTGTTGCGCCCTCGCAATCCTGAGTCCTTCCCAAACAAAATTTCTGGTACATTGACCATTGAAATCCTGGAAACTCTTGCGGATGTTTAAGACGAGCGCGCGGCGCTAAGGCGAGAGCCACATGTTGGGAAGGAACCGCCCTCACCTGCCACCTTAGAGCACGAATATGCGCGTTGCCAAGGCGAGAGCCACATTTTGAAAACGACCCGCCCTCAATTAGCGAAGCTCTTGCCATCGTTTAAAACGAGTGCGCGCGGCGCCATGGCGACAGCTACATTTTGAGAACCATCCGCCCTCAATCCGCGAAGTTCTTGCAATTTAAATGAACACGCGCGCCTCTAAGGCGAGAGCCACATTTTGAAAACCACACGCCCTCAATCCGTGAAGCTCTGGCAAATGTTTGAACCGAATGCGCGCGCCGCTAAGGCGAGAGTCACGTTTTGAAACGAACCCGCCCTCAATTCGTGAAGCTCCTGCCAATGTTTAAGCTTCACGGCCAGAAGTGGTGAGGAAGTCGCAGACGAAACGCCCAGCCCGCCCTTTCGACTGGCCTCGGGGTGCGAAAGAGAGCAGTTACTTGCAAGGACAAGGAATGGAGGAGGAGGAGGAGAAGGAGGAGGAGCAGGAGAAGGAGAAGGAGGAAGAGGAGGAGGAGAAGGAGGAGTAGGCGCCCTCCTACTTCAGTCATCGAGTGCTGTTTCCTTCTCCTTCCTCTTCAGGGGGCGGACGGACGCCCAATCTAACTTCTTCTAACCGACGGGTGCTCCTCTTCTCTCCTCGTTCCCCCCGTCCTCCCCAGCAGAGCATCCATGCTAAAAACATTACACCATAAAAAATGAAGTGGATAGTTTGAAAGGTAGGAGTATGGATGTTGGGATCGATAGTGAGATCGATAGCGTAATCGATAGTGGGGACTTTTGCAAGGTCGATGGTGAGACCGAAAGTGAAGTGAATTCAATGCGATCGACAGTGAGATCGATCGTGAGATCGCTCGTGCGATCTATGGTGAGATCGCTTGTGATACCGATAGTGATATCGATTGTGAGATCGATGGTGAGATCGATAGAAAGGTTGATAATGAGATCGATGGTTAGACCGGTCGTTAAGAAAATCGACCAAGAACCCAGGAACCCGGGAATCCAACCGCCCACCGAAATCGGCTCAGAACGGGGAACCCGGGAATCCGGCCGCCCACCGAAATCGGCTTGGAATTTCGCCAAATCCTTCAATCTCCGCTAGGACCCCTTCAATGCAAGCACTGATTGGGGAATTGAGAACAGGGGTCCTGAGTAAAAGAGGCCCAAAGTTGTTGTTCCACGTTGGAAGCCTTTCGGGGCTCCTTTCCCCAGCCCCGGGACTGCCAACAACTGCTCGGGATGAAAAGTTGGTGCCTGGGAATGCCCAGGTCCCCAGGACCAGACCGCTTTCCCTTGTGCCAGCCGGTGCGACCATGCTGGTGTACACGATGGTGACCTCCCATTGTCTTGGGCCACGCCGCACTTCAGCTGGTACCGTTGCGATTTGCGGAATCGGAGCTGCAGTATTCGGACTGACGAAATCTGAGACCGGCTTGCTAGCTGGTTTGTCACTCATCGGTCTTGGCGGAGGTGGAGTGCTGCTCTGCCTGCAGTCGACGTCGGCCTTGTTTCCCAAGAACCGCTCACTGGTCATGGCGAGCTTGAGCGGAGCTTTTCAGCTGGCCTCCGGCGTCTTCCTCATCATGGAGACTGTGCACCGACTTGCACAGGTGAGATCGACGAGGGAAAGCGGGTTCCTCCTCGCCGACATTGAGCGCGTGAGCGTCCCGCGTAGGGTCGCACGTGAGCGCCCTCGCTTCCAATGTTGCAGCGTTTCTGCCCCGCGGCCTGAGTAGGCCACCGCGTGGGGTCGCTGCGTCGTCTCGTGTGAGACCCGTTTTTTATCGTCGCCTAGGTGTCGAAGCAGGCACTGTTCCTCGGATACGCAGTCGTACTGTTCATTGTGTCTGGCATCTGTCTCGTCATTTGGCCCCTTTCGGCGTTGCCAAGGAGCGCTCGAACAAGTCGAGGCCAGTGCTCTCTGTGGAGCACAATCTTGAACGACCAGTCCTCAAAGAAAGGTGCTTTCGAGAACAAGTGCTGTCGCCAGAGTACCTAGTCATGGTTACCTACTTTGCTCTAGCTGCTCTTCAGGCGCAGTTCGGTCTGCAGAGTCTCGGAGTTCAGTTTCAGCTGATGGGTATCGACTCTGCAAAACTTGTTCTCGTATTCAACGTGGTCTTCTCCTTCGCTTGGGCGGTCACACCACTAATCGGACATGCCATCGACACGTGCGGCACAGTCAGAGTCCTGATCTTCACGAACACTTTGCTGTTGTGTTGCCCTCTATGCCTGATGTCCCAGTTGTATGTCATGCAGCTTGTGTTCGCGTTCGCTTATTCAATAAGTCGTGTGAGCGTTTGGGCTGTTTTTTTTTCTTATGTCGGAGCGGTTTTCGGATTTTCCAACTATGGAAAGTTGGCCGGCGGTGGACAGCTTTTTGCAGCATGCGTGTCACTGCTCCAGATGCCTCTGCTTCGTCTGACGCTTGTCCGTTTCGGCGGAGACTTCACGTTCGTAAACAGTCTTTTCGTTTCAATCTGCGTCGCCATGTATCGAAGACGCCTACGGCGAATCACCGCCGCCCCCTGCCTTTTTGGAAGCGCCTGCAAGGCCGAAAGTTGGGTTTGAGCTTGGCCAAGCTATCGGGCCACGCGTTCCTCGAGTGGGTTCCGAAAGCCTTCGGGGAATACGGAGTCGGGCGAGCTATCGGACCAGGTGGTTTCCGAGCTTTCGGGCCTCCTGGAGGACGTCTTAGAGGGGTCTTGGGCCGTCTTGGAGGCCTCTGGCGGCCCTGTTGGGCAGTCTAAGGCCATCTTCAGGCCATCTGGGGCCGTCTTGGAGGCCTTCTTGGCCTTCTTGGAGGCATCTTGGAGGCCATCTTGGGCGTCTTGGGGGCCTCTTGGGCCGTCTTGGGGTCTTGTGTTGGGTTCCTCTCGGGGGCCTCTTGGCTTGTCATTGGGCCATCTTGAAGGCCTCTTGGGCGCTCTTGGGGCGATGCTGGGGGCCTCTTGGGCCGTCTTGGGCCGTCGGAGAGCCGAAAAGGATCTAATGCCAAAATCCTTCAAACACCCAAGGACAATGATACCAGAGAAAAAAAACAATCATAATCGTTTTTAGGGCTATGGGGCTATAAGGCTATAGGGCTAGAAGGCTATGGGGCTATAGGGCTACAGGGCCATAGGGCTATAGGGCTATTGGGCTATATGGTTATGGGGCTGTATGGCTATAGGGCTATAGGGCTATAAGGCTATAAGGCTATAGGGCTATTAGGGCTATAGGGCTACAGGGCTATAGGGCTATAGGGCTATATAGAGCTACCGGGCACCTGGGCACCCGGGCACCTGGGCATCCGGGCACCTGGGCACCCGGGCACACGGGCACACGGGCACCCGGGCACCCGGGCACCCGGGCACCTGGGCACCCAGGCACCCGGGCACCCGGGCACCCGGGCACCCCCGGGCACCCGGGCACCCGGGCGTGCGGCGAAAATCGGCGGCAAACTTAACCCAAAGAGAAAAACCCAATCATAATCTTTTTAGGGCTAGGGCTACAGGGCTATGTGGGCTCTTTGGGCTATATGGGTTATAGGGCTATAAGCGATAGGGATAGGGCTATAAGGGCACCGGGCACCCGGGCACCCGGGTGCCGGCCGGCACCCAGCACCCGGGTACCCACCTGGGCACGGGGCACCCGTCACCCGGGCACCCGGGCACCCGGGCATCCGGGCACCCGGGCCCGGCCAGGGCTATGATACCAGAGAAAAGCCCCAGTCACAATCTTTTTAGGGCTGTAGGGCTATAGGGCTACAGGGCTATATGGGCTCTTGGGCGCCATATGGGCTATATGGCTAATTATATGGGTTATATATAGGGCTATAGGGATATAGGGCTATAGGGCAATAAGGCTAGGGCTACTGGGCACCGGGCACCCGGGCACCCGGCACCCGGCACCCGGGCACCCACCAGGGCACCGGGCACCCGTCACCCACGCACCTGCACACCCGGGCATCCGGGCACCCGGGCCCGGCCACCGAATCGGCGGCGAACCTGGGCACCCGGGCACCCGGGCACCCGGGCCCGGCGGCGGCGAACCCGGGCACCCAGGCACCCGGGCACCCTGGCACCTTGGCACCCGGGCACCGAATCGGCGGCAAACCTCACCTACCCTTAAATCCGCTAGGACCCTACAGAGGCAAGCTCTGATTGGGGAATGAATCCGCTAGGACCCCTACAGAGGCAAGCTCTGATTGGGGAATCAATGGTTTTGGCCTCTTCGGGCCTTCCTAGAGGACATCTTGGAGGCCTCTTGGGTTGTCTTGGAGGCATCTTGGGCGCCTCTTGCGCCACCTTCGGCTCTCTTGGGGATATTTCTGCCGTCTTGGATGCCATCTTGGTCGTCTTGGAGCTCATCTTGGCCGTCTTGAGGCATCTTGGAGGCCATCTTGGGCGTTTTGGAGGCCTCTTGGGCCGTCTTGGGACCCTCTTGGGGCTGGCTTGGGGGCCTCTTGGACCGTTCTGGAGCCATCTCGGATGCCTTTGGGACGATTTGGGGGATTCGTTGGGCACTCTTGGGCGGACGGAACACCAAAACGGAGGAAACGCCAAAATCCTTCAAAAACTATCGGAAAGTGAATGATTTTGGCTCCCTCGGGCCTTCCTGGAGAACCTCTTGGATTCCTCTGAGGCCATCTTGGAAGCCTCTCGGGCCCATATTGGGCCATCTTGGCCGTCTTAGCGGGCATCTTGGCCGTCTTGGAGGTCATCTTGTCCGTCTTGGAGGTTATCGTGCCCGTCTTGGAGGCAATCTTGGGCGTCTTGGAGGCCTTTTGGCCCGTCTTGGGGCCCTCTTGGGACCGTCTTGGAGGCCTCTTGGGCCGTCATAGGGCCATCTTGGAGGCCTCTTGGGCGCTCTGGGGTCGATCTTTCGGCCCTCTTGAGCCGTCGTGGGCCGTCGGACGGCTGGAAAATAGCAAAAGCCAGAATCTTTCAAAAACTTAGGGAAAATACTTGATTTTGGCCTTTTCGGACCCTCGTGGAGGACCACGTGGAGGCCTATTGGGCGTCTTGGAGGCCTCTTGGAGGCCTTTGGGGCCGTCTTGGCCCGTCTTAGAGGTTTCATGTGCGACCTTGGAGGCATTTTGGACTCTCTTGGATTGGAGGCCATCTTGGACCATCTTGGGCGAACTTGGAGGCCATCTTAGGCCATCTTGGCCATCCTGGAGGCCATCTTGGCCCGTCTGAAGCCGAACAACTTTTTGCAACCACCTTTTGTGCACCCTTCCGGGTTGCCGGCGGGACGGGCCGAAGCCCCAGGGCGAGTTCTGTGGGAAAAGAACCAAAACCAAAAGCGAAAGGATTCAGCACGCCGGGCACCCTGGTGGCAAGCCAACAGGGGGTGGCGGATCTCACGGCTTTCGGCCCATCCCGCAACCGTGCGAGGGTTTCTTCTGGGCTCGCCTTGGGGTCCTCTTGGGCCGAAGAAGAGAAGATTCGAAAGCGAGGGGTCGGGGCCCCTTAAAGACTCCTCAGGAGTGAGGACTGAGGCTCAGAGGCTTGGGCCCAGGACCTGAGGACACGTCCATCGGCGTCACCCCAACATACTTGTGCTGTATGTGCGTCGCCCCCCCAGGGGCAACGCGCGCACCGAGAAATCTTATAGTATAAGCGTCGTGGCGGGCGCCTTCTGGCCACACCGCTCGGGAAACGATACGCCACAAGATGGGTATTCGGGTCGGACGCGCGCCTCCAAGGAGGTCATACAGTGCCCGCATGTCTCTGTGCGTATCAGCCCACGCCGTGCCCAGCGGCACGGTGGCGGATCCCTTGATCGGTGCCTTGGAGGTCCTGCAGCGCAGGTCCCGCTGCGCCGCCGCCTGCCCGGCCTGCCGGGAGCCTTCGACGCCCGAGGCGAGCGCTGCCGGGGGCGGCGGCGGGGCAGCGCGGGGGGCGCGCAGGGACTCGGACGCGCTCGAGGTTGCGGAGGTGCAGCTGGACATGTTCGGTAGCAAATCTCGGGGGCCTCGCGGCGGGGGTCAGTGCAAGCGGGGGTCCGCCAGAGCGCCCGATGGTGCAGGATCCTGCAGGGTTCACGGTCGCGTTGGCCCGTGCCTCGGGCGCAGGGACTTGCAGGATCTTTCGCCCCGACCCAGGCTTGGGTGCAGGATCTTGCAGGATCTTGCAGGAGTTTGCAAGGCCTGACTGGCCCGGGTCTGGATTGACCCGGATCAGAAGATCCCCGAAAATCATGGAAGCCTGGTATGCCCTCTGAATGCCGTCATCAGCGTCGATGAGCGTCTGGGAGTCGATGAGCTAGCGCTGATTTAGCGTCGATGAGCGCCGATTTAGCGTCGATGAGCGTCGGCTGGCGTCGATTCGCAAGCGCCGACAGGATGGTATGGGAGGCTCCCATGAGTTGCCACCGAAGGCTTGGGCACGCCTGTGCAGGGCGGTGGCCGGCTTGCATCCGAGCCGGGCGTGCAGGGAGTTGCACGCTGTGCCTCCCGAGCGTGATGTGGAGCAGCTGATCCGTGCGCAGGGGCGATCATTTTTCAGCGGGCCGCTGGAGCGATCCGTGCTGTGGAGCGAGTTTTGTCCACGGATCCGTGTTGTGGGCTGTGGAGCAGCTGATCCGTGCGCAGAGGCGATGCGTCTCGCCAGCAGTGCGTCGCGCCCTCGAGCAGTTCGTTTTGCAGCACGCAGTTGCAACACGGGGCCACCGTCACGATCTGGGACCTGGATTTCCGTAGGGTGTCCTTGTGCAGCGGAGCATTGATCTTTCATCGGGCCCCATTGGGGCCCGAATATTCGTCCTGGAGGCTCGAAAGCCCAATACTCTCAAGATGTCTCCAGGGTCATACAATGTTTCCCCCGAGGCCGCCCAACCGACTCCAAGAGAGTCCCCAGAGGGCCTCAGTGGCTCCAGGATCGCCTAAAGAGAGCCCCAGAGGGCCTGAGTGGTTCCAAGGTCGCCCAAGCCTCCCAGAATGGCGTCTGATGTGTCCCATGTAGGCGACAAATTTTATTCGTTACGATCCGCAGTGCTCACAAATGAGCGCGGGGCGAATCGATGTCATACTTGGAGACTTCTCGAGGTCGTTGTATAATGACCGGATTCTCCACTTCGGACGCTGAACTGTTCGGCACGAACGTTGGGTACGCGTCTTCACTTTTATAAAGAGTTTTAATTGTAATCATTTAGTGCGCGCGAACTGCCTCATTCATCGGGTGTATGAATAGGTGGGTCGTTCTTCGGGCGGATGGACAGTGAGTTAGTGCAAGTGATTACAGGAGGGGGTGCGCATTACATCAGTGCCCAGGCGAGGTCAGGCGGGCTTGCGGGTGGTCGCGTGGCGGGGTTGCGTTGGCGGAAGACTGACGGTACGTTGCGATCGCCAAGCGCTTTCTTTGGTCGGGGGGTCTTTGCGCTACACTGTTGGGCCCCCCTGATTCGTCCAGCCACTTGGGGCCTCATTGGGAACCTTTGGGGCCCAGGCGTTGCTATTGTTGCTTGCAGTTGTGGTTTGGTGGAGTTGCACACAGTTGCGATGTTGGTTTCGTCTCCGCCGCGTCCCGTGAGGGGCAAGATTGGGGAACTGGGAACGGCGGCTGAAATGGTAGGTGGGGGAAAGCGGGGAGGCTGGAAGGCAGAACGGGAGGGACGGGGTGGAAGGCGGTGGGAGGACGGGAAGGCGGGGGGGGGGAGGAGGGGGGGAGGGAGGGAGATGCGGCTCGAGACCCATGGAGAGACGGCCAGGGTCGCGGGAAACCTCTCGCACGAGGCGCGGGAATTATCATGTGTTTTCTGTGGGCGGGGGATCATTGGGGGTGGATGGGCGGACCACCTGCGCCCTCGGAGCATACGACGGACCGACGTGGGGCGGCGGAGGGGGGCAGGTTTCCCGCGAGCGGGTGTCCCAGTGGCCAGATGGACGGGCTTGTTGCGACTTGGGGGCGGCGGAGAGGTGCTTGGAAGGGAGTACCGCCTTCCCCATCCCGAGCCCCACCATCTCACCACCCCAGTTGGCGTCGCCACATCACAGTGGCGATCGATAATGTGCTCGAGCTCATGTGATTGCTGCTCAGTGCCCCGCATTCCTGTGTAGAGTGCGCCCGCCTGTCAGCCCAAAGCTTTCGCCACGGAGGTGGAGCTGCTCAGTGTCCCGCATTCCTGTGTAGAGTGCGCCCGCCTGTCAGCCCAAAGCTTTCGCCACGGAGGTGGAGCCTCGACTGTAATACTTGGTTTCTCCAGGTCATCCCATCTGCCCTGCTTCCTTGCTAGGGCTCAGTCCAGTGAAGGTGGTTGTCTTATGCAGCTGACGTTCGCCTCTCTGCTGGTCGAGGCAGTGACTGACTGTCTGTCCTGCCTCTGCAGCTCTTTGCGCCCGCTGCACGGCGCATGTCCCTCTCAGCATTTCTCACTTGTTCGAAACCCGAAGGGAACAGCCTATACCCTACTGCGGGCGGAAATGACAACGTTTAACCGATTGCACCACTTGGGGTCAGTTGGGTCAGTTGCGTCAGAAGAGCGGGGGACTGCGATAATCGTTTGCGCCACTTGGGTCAGCTAGGCCAGTTGCCCACGGGGCGGTTGACCCAAGTGGTGCCGACGCATTGGGCAAATTAACCCAACTGCCCCAAGTGGCGCAACTGACCCAACTGACCCCAAGTGGTGCAAGCGCAGCTTGTCAATTAATCCATCAGCCTGGCCTGGCCTAGCCCATGGGGAGCTTGACCCAACTGACTCAAGTGGTGCGTACGCCTTGGGCCTATTAACCCAACTGTCCCAAGTGGCGCAACTGGCCCAACTAACCCCAAGTGGTGCAAGCGCATGTTGTCACTTAGTCCAACAGCCTGGCCTGGCTAGGCTGCGGTAGCGCGTACACCGTGGCATTCTAAAGTAGCGGTGTACTATTCTAGTAAAATAGCGGCAATTCGTCTGTGGCACGCCAGGGTGTCGGCAATTGGTAAACTAGCTTATGATATTCCTGAAAGGTAGCGGGGGGTAGTTTGCTGTATTTCTGGCAAGGTAGCGGCAATTTGCCTGTAGTAGTGGCATTCGAGTAGGATGCCAATAAACTAGCCTAGGGTAGCGGGAACTAGCTCGTGTTATTTCTGGCAAGGAGGCGGCCAATGGCCGATAGTCTTTGTGTTCCAGTAGAGTAGCCAGTAAACTAGCTTGTGGTATTCCTGATAGGTAGCAAAAATTAGCCTGTGTTATTTCCGGCAAGGACAAGTAGCGGGAATTCGCTTGTGATGTTTCCAGCGAGGTGGCTTGCGGGAATTAGCCTGCGGTAGCGGAAATTAGCGCCTGTGGTATTTCCACCAAGGTAGCGGCAATTTGCGTGTAGTAGTGGTGTTCCAGTAGGGTAGCCAGTAAGTTAGCTTGCGGCATTTTTGGAAAGTAGCGGCGCCTAGCCTGTGGCATTTCTGGCAAGGTAGTGGGGATTAGTTTGTAGTGTGTCCGACAAGGTCGTAGTTGAAGTTAGCTTGTGGTATTTCCTGACAGGTAGCGGCAATTCGCTTGTAACAGTAGGGTAGCTAATAAACTAGCTTATGGTATTATTGACAGGTAGCGGCGCGTAGCCTGTGGTATTTCTGGCACGGTAGCGGGAATGAGCATGTAGTAGCGGTGTTCGAGCAGGGTAGCCAGTAAATTAGTTTGTGGTATTCCTGACAAGTAGCCCGTAAATTATCTTGTGGTATTCCTAACAGGTCGCGGGAATTAGCCTGTGGTCTTTCCGGCAAGGTAGCGGCAGATAGTTTGCGGGAAGTGGCTTGTTGTAGCGGGAATTAGTCTGTGGTCTTTCCGGCAAGGTAGAGGCATTTTGCTGTGTGTAGCGGTGTTCAAGTAGGGTAGCTAGTAATCTAGTTTGTGGTATTCCTGAAAGGTAGCGGCGCGTAGCCTGTGGTATTTCCGCCAAGGTGGCGGCAGGTAGTTTGCGGGAATTAGCTTGTTGTCGCAGGAAATAGCTTGTGGTATTTCCGGCGAGGTAGCGGCATTTTGCTTGTAGTAGCGGTGCTAAAGTAGGGCATTCAGTAAATTATTGTACGGTTTTTCCCGGAAAGGGCTTGGGCCCAGGGTTCTCTTTTAGCTGTTTACCCCCCGGTCCTGACGGGTCAAGCGCCGGCGAAATTATTTGCGATAAATAACGAGGTAAAGTGCTGATTTTTTTAGAAAAAGTGCGTTTTGTGCGTGCCCGCTCGAGGAAAGTTCGCCCCCCATCTCGGATCCTCGATAAATAACGGGGTCCGCAGACCCCCGCTTTCCCTCGTAAAAAAGAGGGTGCGGAGCGTTTTTCGCAGAATCCTCGAAAAATAACGGGGTCTGGAGCCCCGACCGCGACTCGGAAAAGCGCCCCGCGCGCAGGAATTCCGAGGATGTCTCGCGCGTGCCGCGTCCCGCGCGCAGGAATTTCGAGGATGTCTCGACTAATTCGCTTGTTTTGTCAGGATTTCTTAGAACTTTGGCAGGATGTCTCGAGCGAAACGCTTATTTTACATAGTTTGTGGAGGATGTCTCGAGCGAAACGCTGGTTTCCGCAAAATTTGGAGATGTCTCGAGCGGGGGGCCAGAATTCAGAGGATGTCTCAGGCGAAATGCTTGTTTTCGTGTCCCGCTCGCGGGAATTCCAAGGATGTCTCGCGCGGGCCGCGTCCCGCGCGCAGGAATTTCGAGGATGTCTCGACTAATTCGTTTGTTTTGTCAGGATTTCTTAGAATTTTGACCGGATGTCTCGAGCGAAACGCTTGTTTTTCATAATTTGTTGAGGATGTCTCGAGCGAAACGCTGGTTTCTGCAAACTTGGGGATGTCTCGAGCGGGGGCCTCGTGGGGGTCCAGAATTCAGAGGGTGTCTCAGGCGAAATGCTTGTTTTCACGTCCCGCTCGCAGGAATTCGGAAGATGTCTCGCGCGTGCCGCGTCCCGCGCGCAGGAATTCTGAGGATGTTGGCAGGATGTCTCGAGCGAAACGCTTGTCCCCAGCACGTTCCGTAGCGCGTCCCCTTGGCACGTCCCGCGGTGCGTCCCCATGGCACGTCCCTTGGCACGTCGCTTGGCGGGTCCCTTGAGACGTTCCGCGTCGCGTCCTCCTGGCATGCCCCCCTGTCCATTAGCTCTGGGGCAGCTACTATGTGTTCAGGCAGCTCGAGCTTAAGATCCAGATCAGTTCGGTCAGGACTCGGATGCAAAGGAGGACTCGATCCACGAGGCTATAGAGCACAATCGCGGCATGGCACATCGCAATTCAGCACGGCGCAGCACAGCACAGATTTCGGCACGGTACATCAAGATCGATACACTCAGCATTGCAACTTGGCACGTTCCGTGGCACGTTCCGTGGCGCGTCCCTGGGCGAGTCTCCCTGGCATGTCGCGTGGCGCGTCCCCTGGCACATCCCGTGGCACATCCATTGGCACGTTCCGTAGCGCGTCCCTTTGGCACGTCCCGCGGTGCGACCCCATGGCATGTCCCCTGGCACGTCGCCTGGCGCATCCCTTGGGACGTTTCGCGGCGCGTCCTCCTGA